GAAAACTGGTTTTTCAGAAAAACGATCTTTGAAGGCCTAGTAGCAGCATTCATGGTGATATTCGGAATCAGCATCGTCGACTACCTATAGTCCACTCGGTTTCGTTGAAAAAACGATTTATCAGTTGGGATACTTCCCTCGTAAGCATGTGAGACTGCAGATCGTAATCCCGTATCTAAAAGTAACAGCCAACATAGTTTCTTTTGAGTTAGTCTCGTTTTCGACATTCTCGTTCCCTGGGTTTATTCGTGAACTGATTTTGATACGTGTTGTTTACTTTCAGTCTCCATTGCAAAGTCTGTAAGACCATCAACAACTATCAGTAAAATCATACAGACAAAAAAAGAAAATACCAATATGATATAAATAAAACTAACAGACATTTTGTGTCTGTTTGTGTAATGTCAGAATGTTTTGTATTGTTTTTAAAGTGAAGATAAATATCGATCAACATTTAAACAAAAACGAGAATAAGCTAAATTATGCTATTCGTATTTTGCTAATCGAAACAGGTTTAACTGTGACATTGAAAAGCTAAAGTTTTAACCGAAACTAGTTCGTTTACATACTATCAATTACGTAGTGCGTTCAAAAAGTTCTTACACTGATTTTATTTTTAAAAAGTAAAAGGCTTTAAAAGTGTTTGACTTTATTGCCTGTTTATAGGTCATACAGTCTTCTACAGTATGAGTTTTGATCGATCAAACATTTTTTTTAGATCATATTGGAACAAGTGGTGCAGATTAAATAACACTCAGTATTTTGTTCATAATTTTTTTCTTTCACTCCCAAGAACTAATCTTTTTTTTGCGAAAGATGCGTTTTGAAATGAACGTTTGAAGCACAAAACTGTAACGCATTTTTTAGAGTATTCAAGTTTTCTTTTAAAGCACTTGAGCAGATATCAAGATACACTTTGTAGTAAAACGTTCAATATATTTTTTGTAGAGAACAAGATGTATCGTTTACAAAAAAAGATTGGTTCTTGGTATCGCAAAACTTTTTGCTTTTTTAAAAAATTCAGTCCGGGAACTTTTTGAACGCCCTACGTATAAGACTTCTCATTTCTATTTTATCAATATAATAATCGAACGAACATGAAAGACTAGTTTACCATTTGGCAAAAGTCCGTACGACTAAATAAAGGCATCTAAACATGTATTCTTTAATTCTCTTTAAAATACAGTCAAAATATTTTCTACCTTTTTATTTGAACTTTTATGAAATTTGTATTGATAGATGTGAGGAAATTTACTTTTCTAGAACAGTTAACATCATCAATTAACATCATTCCACTATGGCTGATACTCAAGCAAAAACCAATGAAACAGTACTTACACTTCAACGTCTTGCCAACTTATTACGCATACATAGTATTGAATCAACTCAAGAAGCGAACTCTGGGTAAGCATTAGTTTTCGCTTCAAACCTGTCAACTAATATATAACTAATATTTTCTGCGCTCTTTTTTTTAGACATCCGACAAGTTGTAGTTCAATGGCTGAAATAATAACTGTTTTGTTCTTTAATGTTATGCGTTATGATGTTAAAGAGCCTCGTCATCCAGCAAGTGATCGATTTGTGCTATCAAAGGTTAGTACTTGGATGTCGAAAAAAGCCTAATTCTTTTAGATTTTATCTTCTGACGGGTAGGGACAAACGTTTGCAGTATTTATTTGTTTAGGGTCATTGTGCTCCAATACTTTATGCTGCATGGGCCGAAGCTGGTGCATTTCCAACATCTGATTTAAAAAATTTAAGAAAAATTGATTCTGATTTAGAAGGTCATCCAACGCCAGTACGTAGAATATCTGGTGCATTAAATTATTGTCTATGACTAGTATCTTAATTTCTAGCGTCTTAATTTTATTGATGTTGCCACTGGTTCATTAGGACAAGGAATTGGTTTCGCCAGCGGTATGGCGTATGCTGGAAAATATTTGGATAAGTCAGACTATCGTGTTTATTGTGTACTTGGTGATGGCGAATGTGCCGAGGGTTCAGTATGGGAAGCATTCTCATTTGCCAGTTTTTATAAATTAGATAATTTGTGTGCTATCATTGATATTAATCGTCTTGGCCAAAGTGATCCTACACAGGTATTTTATAGACATTTCTAACATTTGCTATAACTTTTTGAGTTGCTTATTTTCAGTTACAACATGATCTGGAAACGTACAGAAAACGAGCTGATGCATTTGGGTAAGAGGATAGTCGCATTATGATTGTAAAAATGTTAGTTTATATTGTTGTTTTTTGTAGATGGCATCCTATTGCTGTTGATGGACAAAATGTTGATGAATTGTTACAAGCATTTAAAGAAGCTGCGGAAACGAAAAATAGACCAACATGCATATTAGCTAAGACATTTAAAGGAAGTGGATTGAAAGGTGCTTGAATACTATTATTCTTTTCCTCTTGATATTTAGTAATTATGAATTACTGTTAATATAGGTATCGAGAATGAATTGGACTGGCATGGTAAACCTCTCGGTGATAAAGGAAAAGATATTGTTGAAAGTTTAAAGAAGTTAATTAATGGTGATATAAAACATCCACAATTGGCGAAAATTACAGCTAAAGTTTCTGAGATCAAAAAAGACAGCGAGATTAAATTATCATCGCCACCAAATTATGATGGAAAGAAAGAAGTAAATGAAATAGAGATTTTAAACATATATTTCAAGCTTCTCATTGTCTGTTTTAGATTGCAACACGATTAGCTCATGGTACAGCATTGGAAAAATTAGGCAAAAGTTGTAAATATGTTGTTGCACTTGATGGTGATACAAAAAATTCAACGTATTCACAAAAATTTCGTGTACGTTTTTTCTTGTGTTTAAGTATCTATATTTTCAATTTATTTTTGTTTTTCTAAAGGATTCGTATCCAGATCGTTTTGTTGAATGTTACATTGCTGAACAAAATATGGTAGCTGTTGCCATTGGTATTGCTACACGTGATCGTTACATCTGTTTTGTTCACACATTTGCTGCATTTCTGACACGTACATTTGATCAAATACGAATGGGTGCCATATCATTTACAAAGGTGAAATTTGTTGGTTCACACGCTGGCATATCGATCGGTGAAGATGGTCCATCACAAATGGGTTTAGAAGATTTTGCTATGTTTCGAAGCGTACCACAATGTGTTTGTTTTTATCCATCTGACCCTGTGTCTGCTGAGCGAGCCGTAGAATTAGCTGCTAATTATGATGGTATGGTCTATATTCGAACAAGTCGACCAAATACAGCGACTTTATATAAGAATGATGAACTATTTCAAATTGGAAAAGCGAAAGTAAGTTCATAGATGATTCTGAATTTGTATGATAAAAATGACACTCACTTCTTACTTTAGATTATTATTGAAAGTTCACAAGATATATGCACAATTATCAGTGGTGGTGTGACATTACACGAAGCTATAAAAGCGTCAGAAAAATTGAAGCAAGCTGGCAAAGTAGTTCGTGTTATCGATTTATTTACTGTTAAACCTATTGATCGTGATACATTACTGGCATCGGCTAAAGCGACACATGGTAGATTAATTGTTGTTGAAGATCATTATCCAGAAGGTAAGTTCAAATCGAAAATAAAACTAGAAAAATGAATACTGGTACTATCAAATGGATTGCATACCTGTTCTCATTGTACAGCATATAGACTAGGAACAATGAATTTAATTTTACAGTAAACTGTGAACGTGAATTTGAATGTTCAAGTCCGTATTCGTACAAAATTGACTTTGTGTTTTTTGATAATTCAAGTTTTAGAATACTATAGCAGTATCACTTGTATTTTGGATGAATAAAGTTTAGATCAACGTAAGTTCTTCTTATTCTTAAAAAACACACACTCGTAACAAAAAAGGAGGCGGGTATTAACATTTAATCGCTTAGACTACCATGGATATGTTTCTTTCTTTTTTTAAATTTACATTTGTTTATTTCTGTTTTTATAGGTGGTTTAGGTGAAGCTGTAATGAGTGCATTATGCGGTGAAGAAGGTATTAAAATTGTTCATTTAGCTGTTCGTGAAATTGCACGTAGTGGAAAACCAGCTGAATTATTAAGTAAATACGGTATTGATTCTGAACATATAGTACAAGCAGTGGAAAAATTAATCAGCTAAGTTATTACCGATGATGTGATTCTACTGTATTATCATGATTTTAGTTATTGCCAAATGCTTATTTTTACTTCTCTGCCTCTCTTTTATTCTTATATGTTTAATTAGTTACAAACAGTGAATTTCGTACAACAACATTCACATAGATTTCTTTTGTTTTATCAATAAATATATGATTTTTTTAATCAAGATATCTTGCTGTCACGTTCACATCGAGTATTAGTCGCACTGTTAACGATAAGTAGATAAATGTCTCTTTTGTATAATTTTATTTTTGAACTGTTACCTTCTAGCAATCGTAGCTCTAGAGTCTGCTTATCGGTGTTTTTCAGTAAGTTAAACAGTGAAAGTTAAATCAAATTTAAAATAAAAAATCAGTGACGCACGTTTTAGTTTATGTAAGACATATTTAGTCTTCTGTAACAAAATTGACCATTCACGATAATGACACTAATTTGTTAGCTCGATGATTAGTACGTGTTCGTATCAACAGCATCACACTATAATAAACCATCGTATGCATCATAAACTGTTCTCGTGCAACTCTCAACAGATCGTATTCTTTTTCTTAAGTGAAAAAAGGTAAAGCAAGTTGGAAAGATGCAGCATGACTAAAATTAATATCGATCAGTCACGCCGGAATCTTGCCATTGAGCAAAACCTCAAAAAATAAATGTTCGATTTGTACACCAGTTATTTTTTTCGTCAACTCGATGATGATTTCAAATTTGACGTATTTATATAGAAAGAAAATATTATCAATCAACATTTAGAAGAGTCATATGTTTTTGCTTTAAACATATATACGAATAATAAAAAGTAACCAGATTCTTTTCTAGAGGAGGAAACAAAAAACCATAGATGTTTACCGAATGGATTTGTGTTTAAACGCTGTTTTGATCAATATCTAACAATATAGGAGGAACATCAACAAAAAACTAAAATACCAGGAAAAAAAGAAAAGAAAAAACACATAGTCATTAAGTTGAGTCATATTGCATAGGTATCGCGTCCTCTACATCGATTCGATTCTAATAACTCCATTTCTAACGACAATGTAAAGATTTCGCTTGAGTTTTTTGGGTATTCATTAGGTATAATGAATTTGTTAATTCAATTTGATAATTAATCGTAACATCACTGAAATAGTCTTTTCATTACAAACATACCAAAGTGAAACTTATGTTTATTTTAACATTGTCCAGTTCCGCGTTTGATATTCAACTTCTAACTTTCGCTCAGTATTCTTCAAGTTCTAAGTGAAAAAACTAAGGAAAATATGGATGTTAATAACAGATTTCTATATGAACGAAGATACAGGATTTTTGTGTCAGAGTATGAGATTTATCTGCGTAGTAAGTAGGACGAATTATTTTAATTCAGAAGTGCGTTTAGCAGAGCTCGAACTTTCAATTTCTTGTCGATAGTTCTCCAATATGCAGCAATTCTTAGTAAAATAAAAATATCTCAATGAGTAAGTGTGCCACTTACCTACGAGTTTCAAATCTTAAAAAATGTAACAAAATTCTCATATTTTTTCCGTCGTTTGTCGTTTATTAATATTTTCGAAATAATATGAAGAACAAAAAAAAATGAAAAAATTTCGTTGCGTTTTTATTTTATGAAAATAGGACTATTTCTTGTTTATTTTCAGTAACACTGGTACCATGAGCTTTCACTTCTCTTATAATATCCTTATTTAATTTTTTCGTTTTGTATAATGTCTGACCCAGAGTTGACGCGAGAGAATGATAATGATGATTCTGAGAAATCCGTTATCCATTAAATCTGAACAGAAATGTAACACCTTTGAATTTCACATATCTCATATAGAACTTTCCTTTGTAGTGGTACTAATGGTCTCTCTCTCTCTCTCTCTCTCTGATTTTTCTGTTTTCTTTCTGTTATATACAGATCTAAACAATATGGAGCGCATATAGAATGGATGAATGCATATATAATAATGACAAAGTTTTTCTTTTTTGCTCATATTTCCACAATGATCTGTATATAAATGAGATGTTTTTACTTTTTTTAGATAAAATTAAATATATACACGCATAAGGGAATAAAATCTTAGATCACAGATAAAAAAAATGTTTTGTTCTCGTATATAAGAATATCAAATTTAAATAACAATATCGAAAAAAAAACAAGAGGACATAAAACTATGTAATAAACTGCATTCTCGATCCTAATCGTATCAAAAACTTGTATATATGAGGCATGCTATTTTAATCCAACAAAAAACTCGCTGTATAAGGTATAGAAAAGGAACAGGAATAAATGACGGATAAACACTTACCTGATATTCAAATAAATTCTTAGAGTATACTGCAAGCAAAAAGAAACTCTTTACAAGCGTTAATAGTTAGGAATAACGTGTTTTCTAATTTATACTCACATAACTGTTAAAACAATATTTCTACTTATGAATTCAATCGCTCATTTCGTTATGGTTACTAAACGACAGTGTGAACATTTTTGATACTTTAAATTTAATTGTTTCTATCTGTTTAATTTGTTATATACCAAGACAAAAAATATGGCTGATGAAGATATCATTTTTGGTGGTACGTCCAATGATGATTATGGCATGTCCGAAATGTCATTTGCAAATGAATACAAGAAGGAATTAGAAGGAACTGAAATGCATCGTATGAGACAACAACAAGAGCAAGAACAATTACGCTTGTTAGAACAACAACAGCAGGAAGAAGTCGAACGAATGCGCTCCCAATATACGATTTTGTATCCTTCAGAGAGGAGAGAAGAACATTTGTATGACAAGCCAAAATATTGTTGTGCCCATCATTATGACGATTATGATCCACATAATCAACATAAACAAGCAACAACCGGAGCCCATTCGCTGAAAGAGAATCCAACGTCTTACATTGTCCTTGGTAGTGAGCGAATACGTCAGTTGACTGATGTATATAGACGAGATAAAAATTTTGTAAAAGATGAGCAAATGAGAATAAAATCTGATTATCCAAAACATTACATATTAAAACATGAACAAAATAAACCAAGGAATATATACGAACACCAGAGAACACAGCCAGAACAGCAAATGTGTGATTTAAAAGTAAAAGAAACAAATTATGATGTTTCATGTAATTGTCAAACACCACCGTTATGTCGTCTATTTCAAAGTAGATAACTCTAAAATTTGCCACTTGTTGAAGTTTATACAAAATTTTATATTTTTACTATTTATTTTCTTAGATCTGGTTGATGTTTTAAAACAGAGTATAGAATTTTTTCTATTTATTGGTTACGTTGTCAGACGACGAAATGAATTGTTGTATCCTTATTATCCATTTGACAAACAGCCAAAATATGTGAATGATCATCCAACATTTTTATCGAAAACTTATCCATTTGTACGGAAGCCAAATGATTGTGAATTACAAAAAATAAAACCGTTTAGGGATAATGTATCATCTTATATAAAAAATCCACCAAAACATGTTGTTAACGATACATGTTATGTCATTCATTGATCTTAATGATGATTTTTTGGAGAGCCCGTTTAACTTGATTCGATTTCTAGACAACGATTTAGGTGATAGTGTTACTCAATGAGGATATCTAAAACAAATATGTATAGTTAGTTGAAATGAATGTAACAGGAGACTGAATGGATGACTCAGTCTATTTCTTTTTTTGTGCAGTTCGTCAAACCTTGATAGTTGAAACAGATGAGCTGAATAAAATTCACAAAAGTTTTTTAGTTTAATTTAGAATGAGTGGTGAATAAAAAAATAATTCATAGTTTTTAAGTAAAATCTAATAGTAACAATTTGGATTCTATCCATAAATAAATTCAGTACCTTCCATTGTGCTTGAAAGGAAATGAATATATCAATTGACTGGCGTATATAGACGAGATAAAAATGACGGGGACAAAAAAATTAACTATCCAATACTTACATCACTAATAGGAGATGAAGGGCTCATGTTGTTCAAATAAGATGAAGGGCTGGTTTCGGATTTCAATGATATGAGTTTCTAAAGCAATTAATGAAAAAACAACTATACTTTTGAATTTTAGATATTTGAGGTGAGATCATATTTGAAGGAAGAAGCCTGGTGTAAAAAATTGAATATTTTTCAATCGTACTTCATGAAAAGTATTGAGTAAATCAGAAGTTGAGGCTGGCTCAATCGTTGCACTATTTTTCAATGGATAAACGAGTTTGACGGCTTCTGGTGTTAGACTTGCACGTCGTGGAAAGTAATCGGGTACATGATGAACTTGATTGAATCCAATAGTTTTATAAAAATTGATTCCACTATTATTCGATGATTCAACAAACGCTTCAATTTGTTCAAAATTTTCATTTTCTCTACACGTTCTAATAACATCGTTAATTAGTTTTTTTCCTAAATTATAAGCATAAATATTATCATCTTCAACTAACATAAGAATTTTTAATCTTCTTGTATTATCCGCGAATATGGATGTTGCTAATACAGCACAATAAATTCTAATCGTACAACAGTAACGTGACATATAAGCTACCTTTGATATGTCACTAAATAAAACGCAAATTAACAGCAACAATGAAAACACGACGAGAACTATTGGGACTACCTCGCATCAAAAACACGTAAAAATGTTTCCTTATTGAATGCACCAGGAAATGCTTTAGTGAAAAAATGATACAATATTGAGTAGCCAACATCATCTTTTGTTCCATATTGTATGTGAGAAATTGATACATCTTTTGATGATCGAAATGTTGTATTCAATCGTATTGCCATTCCAATTCATTTTAGATAAAACGAAAATTTATAGTTATGGTTGTTTTCATTTTGAAAATTTAATTTGACCATGTGTGCGGGTGAAAGGGACATCAAGCGCCATTTTTTCAGGTCGCTATTATTCACAATTTAGTTAAATAAAAAACAAATTCGTTTTGTATTTTTAATAAAAAAAATGTTTTTTTTAAAAGAACTTTCAAAAATCTTCCTGAAAAACTATATTCAGACGAGATATGTAATCCAATTATTTTACAACAATAGCGACAATCAGTTCGTTTTTAGATAAACGGTAAGAACGGTAAAAATGTCATAATAACATATCATCAGACATACACCTCATATTGTTCATTCGCCGTAAGATCCACATTTCTAGCAGTTATTGAACACAAGATCTTCTATAATGTGATTTTAAAATGACCTCATCAAAAACTACCAAATATTAACAACAACAATAAAGTGTCTACGTTTGAAAACTGTAACTAAGGCGCGTGTAATTCAAAGTTCATACGCTATTTTATATTCGATCCAATCACACATCATTTAAAGGAGAAGGATGAGCTGAGTAAGAATAACTTGGTTTCAGCCTTCTTAGATCAAGTGTTCCGTTTAAAAAATTGAAAATACTTTGAGCTCTTGAAAAACCTGAAAAAGCCGTCCGTCGCTGGAAAATGCCTACATTTTTTCTACGTGTAAAAGATCTTGTGTTCAATAACGGCTAGAAATGTGGATCTTACGGAAAATGAACAATATGAGTTGTAATGTCTGATGAAATGTTATTATGACATTCTCGGGGATGTATTTATTACATTTATTCAACAGTGATGGGAAATTACCTTCAAGTTACTGAAAAATCCACTTTTTGATTCGTTTTATGTGTTTTCGACCATCATATTTTAAGATGTTCGTTTTTCTTCATCTATCTCTCAGCCACTAAGGTATCTCATTACCTTATTATGTATTGAATGGTCCTACTTCTTGATATTATGAACTCTTTCAAAATTCTAACCACGGATAAAATAAGACTGATTGATGCACCTTATTTAGAGATATATTTTTAGAGTGCTGATGGTTGAATGATGCCATAGTTAGGGAATTCTGGTGCACCGGTACGGATACTGGCACTTTATTTGACAATTACTCTGAGAAACGTTTTTCTCGAGCCAGAGTTTCATAGTGATTTTCCACTATTTCAAAAAGATCAGTTGAAAGTGTAAACCTGTTGTTATAATAGCCCATCAAATGGAGTAAATGCAAAATAAATGTTGTCCAGCGCCTTTTAACTCTATTCAGTGGAACAGCAGGATGCTCAAAGTTCGAAAAAGGTGAAAAATCGCCGATTCTTTTTCTTTTGTCAAATGTTTTACAACCACAATAAAAGCCAAGTGATTAATAATAGCATGAGAAGAAAAAAAAGAAAAACTTCGAAAAGCTTCCTGACAGTTCTCAAATGCTAAGGAGATAAAAATATCATCCTGCAAATTTCAGCTTCATATAACATTGAAAACTTTACAGTTGATAATTTCATAGTTACTAGTATGATACTACACAATGATTTGTTTTTGTCTATGTCTACCTTCCAAAACGAAAATTTGCACTATCTAAGAATTGCTATCGTATAATGGTATAAGTTTAGATAGGATACAGTAGATTGAGAACATGTTACACTGTTGTACAATAATTGCAACTGATTTAAATGATTTAAGTATTCTTTCTTGTGGTATTTCGACCTTAAACGATTATTCTCGAACTTTATTTTAACAATGATAACAGTAGATACAACTGCATGATATTTTTGCCTTTCTTTTATATAGATGGTAAATAGAAAGAAGAACATTCTTTTTTAAATATGACGTCATATTAAAAAAGAGCTACAATGCGGATTTTAAGAAACTCCTATATTCGCCACGAAAGATTTTCATTTTCTGGTTGACGGACAAATATACGATCAAATTGATGGTGTAAGTATGGGCACTCTAGCTGAGATATTTATGTCCGATTGAGGAAACCGATTCCAACATGGCTTTGGACATTTAATTGGGCATTAAATATTGGAGGAGATACGTAGATGACACATTTGTTTTACTTGATCCGATGTGGAAACCAGAGGATGTAGCGGATATGCTAGGATGGCTTCATCCCTCTATTCAGTTCACCTACGAGCACGAGTCAGTAAGAATACATTGCCATTTCTGGACATATTAATCACAAGATCAAAAAGTGGTTTTCAAACACACATTTAGCGTAAACCAACATATACAGGATTGGTCACGAAATGCTTTGCTCCAAATCATATAAAAGGAACGCTGTGTCATCTATGGTTTACAGAGCCATCAAAATCTCTTCGACATATGAAAGTTTACATAATGAATTTGAAGTTATACGGTCAACATCAACCAAGAAGGGATATCCACTGCTTTCGTAGATTCAATTATACGAAAACAACTCGATTCTGAATATCCAAGACGTTCAGAGGATAATTAACTCAAAATATTCTGAACAAACAACGTGAGAATGTAGTCTTTCATGTATCCTTTTTCTACTGTACAGGTCAGCTTTATGATCAACGAATAATATCAGCTGTAACTCGGTTATATCCGATAAAAAATATCAGAATAATGTTTGACATAGGTCTAAAGTTGGCAATGGCTCTAGCCCTAAAGACAAAATACTCGATCATCTAAAATCAGAACTTGCTTATGAGGCTACTCTCTAAAAAAAATCCGTAGCTTACAAAACGAATATCGGTTTTGGCATTTGCTCCTAATAGAAACCGATATCCGTATCGTACAGTCCTGCATAACCGTTTCGCAGAATACGCTTCAACGTTTT